CACCATGTCGTACAGTAGAACTCTTAAACTTATTCCTATAAAGCTGAAATTTTAAATCCTTTGACCGATATCTCCCCAATTCCACAACCCCTATCCCAATCCCAACTCCCCAGTTCTAGTAACCACCATTCTACCCTCTATTTCTATGAGTTCCAGCTATTTTAGATTCCACATATAGATGAGATCATGCAGTAGTTGTCTTTCTGTGCCTGACTTATTTCACTTAACAAAATGTTCTTCAGGTTCATCCACATTGTTTCAAATGACAGCATTTCCTCCTCTTATGGGTGAATAATATTTCACTGTACATATACACCACATTTTCTTCATTTACCTACTGACTGATAGACGCATAGGTTGATGCCATATCATGGCTATTGTGAATAATGCTGCAGAGACCATGGGGGTCAGATACCTCTTCAACATACTGATTTTATTTCCTTGGGATACATATACCCAATAGTAGGATTGCTGGATTATATGGTAGTTCTATTTTACATTATGTTTTCTGTTTACATTCCCACCAACAGTGTGCCAAAGGTTCTCTTTACTCCATATCCTTGCCAACACTTGTTATCTTTCATTGTTTTTGGTAATAGCCATTCTAATAGTTTTGAGGTGGTGTCTCACTGTGGTTTTAAATTTGCATTTTCCTGGTAAGTGATGTTGAGCATTTGTGTGTCTTATACCTGTTGGTCATTTGTATGTCTTTTGAGAAATGTCTATTCAGGTCCTTTGCCCATTTTTTAATCAGGCTCTTTGTTTTCTTGGTATTGAATTGTTGGAGTTCCTTGTATATTTTGGATATTAACCCCTCATTAGATGTATGGCTTATAAATATCCCATTCCGTAAGTTGTCTCTTCACTCTGTTCATAGTTTCCTTTGCAGTGCAGAAGCTTTTGTTTGCTATAGTCCCATTTTATTTGTCTTTTTTTTTTTTTGGTTAGTTACCTGTGCTTTTAGGGTCATATTCAAATAATTGCCCAGACCAGTGTCATGGAGCTTTTTCTCTACGTTTTCTTCTAATAGTTTACAGTTTTGGGTCTTAGATTTAGGTCACTTTGAGTTGAGTTTTTAATATGGTGTGAGATAAGGGTCTAACTTCATTCTTCTGCATGTGGATATCCAGTTTTCCCAGCACAATTTATTAAAGAGACTGCCTTTTCCCATTATGTTTCTTCACACGTTTGTAAAAAATCAGCTGGCTGTAAATATATGGATTTATTCCTGGGCTCTTCTTCCTATTATTTTGGTTTAAGTGTCTGTTTTTATGCCAGTATAAAAATGTTTTGATTACTATGGCTTTGTAGTAATTTTGAAATCAGGTAGTGTGATACCTCTAGCTTTGTTCTTTTTGCTCAAGATTGCTTTGGCTATTCAGGGTCTTTGTTGGTTCCATATGAATTTTAGGATTGTTTTTTCTATTTCTGTGGAAAATGTCATTGGAATTTTGATAGGGATTACACTGAATCTTTAGATCACTTTGGTTAGTATGGACATTTTAGCAATATTAAGTCTTCCAATCAATGAACATGGGATATCTTTCCATTTATTTATGTCTCCAATTTCTTATATCAGTGTTTTACAGTTTTCAGTGTAGAGATCTTTTACCTTCTTGGTTAAATTTATTCCTAAGTATTTTATTTTTTATAACACTACTGATTATTGTATATTGATATGCGCACAACCTTACTTAATTTATTAGCTCTGACAGTCTTTTTGGTGGATTCTTTTAGCTTTTCTATATATAAGATCATCATCTGCAAACAGGGACAATCTCCTTCCTTTCCAATTTGGATGTCTTTTATTTCTTTCTCTTGCCCAATTGCTCTGGCTGGGACTTCAGTTCCAGTACTATGTTAAACAGAAATGAGAGTGGAAGTCTTTGTCTAGTTCCTGATCTTAGAGGAAAAGCTTTCAGTTTTTCACTGTTGAGTATGGTGTTAGCTATGGGTTTGTTACATATGGCCTTTACTTTTGAGGTGTACTCCTTCTAATTTGTTGAGAGCTTTTATTGTGAAAGTATGTTAAATTTTGTCAAATGCTTTTTCTGCATCTATTGAGATGATCATATGGTTTTTGTCTTTCATTCTGTTTATGTGGTATATTATATTTATAGATTGGCATATGTTGAACCATCTGTGAATCCCTGACATAAATATTACTTGGTCATGGTGATTTATCTTTTCAATGTGCTGTTGAATTGGTTTACTAGTATTTTGTTGAAAATTTTTGCATCTTGACCAGGCATTGTGGCTCACACTTGTAATCTCAGCACTTTTAGATGGTCAAGGCCTGAGGCTGGCTTGACCCAGGAGTTCGAGACCAGCCTGGACAACATAATGGGACCCTGCCTAGACGAATAATTTTTTGTTTTTAATTAGCTGGGCATGATGGTGTGCACCTGAAGTCCCAGCTACTCAGGAGGCTGAGGTGGAAGGATCACCTGAGTCTGAAAGGTCAAGGCTGCAGTGAGCCATGATTGCACCACTGCACTCCATCCTGGGTAACAGAGGGAGACCCTGTCTCAGAAAAAAAAAAAAAAAAAAAGAATTTTTGCATCTGTGGTCATCAGAAATATTGACCTGTAGCTTTCTTTTTTCTTTTTTTCCATATTTTCCACAGTCTAATTGACAAGTTTTCTTTAATAGTGTCCTTGTCTGGCTTTGGTGTCAGGGTAAAGCTGGCCTTGTAAAATGAGTTTGGAAGCATTCCTTCCTCTTCAGTTTTTTGGAAGAGTTTGAGAAGGGCTAGTATTCTTCCTTTTTTGAGATGGGGGTCTTGCCCTGTTGCCCAGGCTGGAGTGCAGTGGCACTATCACGGCTCGCTGCAGCCTTCACCGCCTGGGCTGAATTAATTCTGCCACCTCAGCCTCCCGAGTAGTTTGGACCACCAACATGCATCACCACACGCAGCTAATTTTTTATTTTTTGTAGAGACAGATTATCCCTATGTTGCCCAGGCTGGTCTCAAACTCCTGTGCTTAAGCAATCCTACCACCTAAGCCTCCCAAAGTGCTGGGATAACAGATGTGAGCCACCGTGCCTGGCCGTAGTTCTTTAAATGTTCGATAGCGTTCAGCAGTGAAGCTGTCAGGTTCTGGGTCTTTTATTTGATGAGAGCCTTTTTTTTTTTTGAGGCTGAGTCTCGCTCTCTCACCAGGCTGGAGTACAGTGGCGCGATCTCGGCTCACTACAACCTCTGCCTTCCGGGTTCAAGTGATTCTCTTGCCTCAGCCTCCCAAGTAGCTGGGACTACAGGTGCGCACCACAACACCCAGCTAATTTTTGTATTTTTAGTAGAGACGGGGTTTCAACATGTTGGCCAGGATGGTTTCGATCTCTTGACCTTGTGATCTACCCACCTCAGCCTCCCAATGTGCTGGGATTACTGATTCAATCTCCTTTTTTTTTTAAGGCTTAAAATTTATTTTATTTTATTTCATTTATTTATTTTTTTTGTTGAGACACAGTCTCGCTTTTGTCGCCCAGACTGGACTGCAGTGGCCAGAACTCAGCTCACTGCAAGCTCCGCCTCCCGGGTTCACGCCATTCTCCTGCCTCAGCCTCCCAAGTAGCTGGGACTACAGACGCCCGCCACCTTGCCCGGCTAGGTTTTTTTGTATATTTTTTAGTAGAGACGGGGTTTCACCATGTTAGCCAGGATGGTCTCGATCTCCAGACCTCGTGATCCGCCCGTCTCAGCCTCCCAAAGTGCTGGGATTACAGGCTTGAGCCACCGTGCCCGGCCTTAAAATGTATTTTAACAAGTGATGCTGCATTGCTGCTCCATTTCTCAGAAAAACTTCAAATTTAAGGTATTAGCAACAAATCAAACATAGTACATCAATTAAATATGCACAGCATAACTACTAAGTAAGATAGGCAAGGCTAAGAGCTACTCTCAGACCTTCAGCATCCAGCAACCCTGTTTCCAAGACTGTACTAGGCCTATCAAGGAAAGCTGTGAATAGCAACATCATAGACACAAAAGGGCCATTCCTGGGTTGTCCTTATCCAAGAAAAAGATTGAGGCAAGTTAACACAAGATTTTTAAAAAAGATATACTGAAATGAATCTCTAAGAGAAAATGTCTTCCTTAGGACATGAAGGGATAATATATGGGATATAAAAGAACTATACGTACATTGTTTGTGACCTCTGTGGACATTTGCCTGAATTCTCACCTGGGAGTGAATGGAGCAGTGGGGCGAAGGTCATTGGAGGTTTGTTTTTTGTGGTATATGTGTGGTGTCTCTGGGGTTGGTTAGTGTATGGATAAGAAAGCAAATGAAACAGGATGGAGAAAAAAGGAATGATCAAGATTAATGGGTCTCTAACTGGATTCATTTCACCGTGGTTCCCCCAGGTCTTCAACAGTCACATTTGAGACTTCAGTAATGCACCACAGAGAACAGATCAGTTAAACAGTATACCACACAGAACTGGTTTGTTAAATACCACTCCTCCCTTGCTCTCTTCCTCCAAAATACTCCCTAGAGTAGTATAGGTAGTGTAGACCTAACTATCGAGAGGAATCTCACTTTTCTAGGGTAGAATTCTGGCTAGTCCAAATAGGGTCCTCTTAAAGGTTTTCAGGAACTAGACACTGTAACTTTATTAGTATCAGCAACGTGTGTTTGGAGGAAATTCAGCTTCAGGAGTTGTACAGTTCAATGCAGGAGGAGTTCCACCAATTGCCCCAATTCCTTCCATTGCAGCAGCTTGGCCAAAGCATTCCATCGTTAGTGAGGTCAATTAGCATCATAGGTTCAGGTTCTGGAAGAGCTGGGGTAACAACTGGCACAGAAGCAGGGGCATGGTGCCTCTGTTATGCCCGTAGCACCTCCCACAGCCATCTGGCACAGCTGTCTCTCCTGCTGTCTCATATCAGAGAAGGTTCCGGTGAACCTTTCCTACCATTACCAGTGCATCACTTCCTTCTAGTGCCTGCACTCCTCTCACGTGGGCTCCAGTTGCCGTCTTTTTTGCATCTCTTGGTTGTTCAGCTCTTCCATCCTCCACAGCTCTTCTTGGCACCTCATCAAATCCTGCCTCATTAGCATGACCTGGCATTGATGAAGGCAAGCAACCCCCATCTCCATCTCCAGCTTCTCATGAGCCTCCTTGATATTGTGATCCACTTCGTCCTGCTGCTGCTTCTCCATCTCAATGAGCACCCTCCAGTGCATGGCATACTCATATTCAAAAGCCATGCTGTGCATACTGGGGTGGCTGTTCTCACTCCTTGTGAAATTGCTGATTTTTTACAACCAGCTTCTCTGGAAGTCCTTCTTTGTCACCTAATTAGCCTATGGGCTACACAGTAACAGGATGAGGAAATGTGGTTAGCAGGAAGCAGCCTGCACTTTCTGAGCAACTGGCTGCCCTGAGAACTCAACAGTGCCTTTCCCTGAGGGCCTTCCTTGATCATCCACAGTGACTACAGCCCCCTCCACCTGGTCAAATAAAGAAAAGGCTTCTTCCAAAAGTTTGTTAGAAGGTTTCGGACTGTAAGGGATGCACTATGGCAGGCAGAGTGCACACAGCTGCATATTGTCCAGACCCACTTTGGCAATCTCTACTAGGGTTTGTGCTTCCAAGTGCATAAAGTCAAAGCCTTTATCCTTATGAAGACCTCACCTGCCTTCCCATGTTTCTTTTTTGTTGTTATTGTTTTTAATTTTTTCATTTTTCCTTTTTGTTTATTTAAATCCTCTTTCTGTGAAATTGCCTTCCCGTATTTCTCACATTTCCTCATTTCCTCCTCAGTGATGTCAGAAGGAACACTTCCCACAAAGAAGTAGCTTTGTTTGGTGAAGGGCTTCTTTCCTGGTTTCCTAAAATGCTTCGGGTCAATAGTCAAGCCTTCATTTTGGCTGCTGGCCTTTTTTCCATTTGCAGGTATTGGCAGCAGCGATGGCTGCTGCTGTTGCTGGGGATGCTAATAATGTTTCCCTAGAGCATGGTTTTGCTCCAAGTTAAAAGTTGTACTGCTTCCCTACCTACTGTCCTCTTCTCAGAGTAATGGTGACCCTTATTTGCTATTGGTCTCTTTAGATTTTCTGTTTATGATTCATTCTTGGTAGGTTGTATGCATCTGGAAATCTGTCCACTTCTAGGTGATCCAATTGTTGGCATATAATATATAATTGTTCCTAATAATCTCCTTTGATCCTTCGTATTTCTGTGGTATCAAACGATTTTTATTTTCTGCCTTCCTGACTTCCTTCCCACCTGTCTCCCTCCCTTCCTGAATAATTCAGGACAAAAGCCATTTGCTTGTTCTGTACAAAGTGCAAGAAGATGTTACCACGGGGGGCAGTGGTAGTGGCCTAGTGTAGGGCTGCAGTGTGGAGCCTGAGGAGAACGTCTGAGGGCAGCAGGGAGGGGACTGTGAATAATGAGGCAGCAATAGATTGGTTATTTTTGAGGAGGACTGAGTCCAATTTATTTTTTCTTTTTTTTTTCTTTTTTTTTTAAGTGCGTGTCTGTGTGTGTGTGCGCCAAAGATTTATTTGTTCATTTCTTGCATTTGAAGTACTCTTCAATGACGTCCTTGGCCTGAGACTCCTTGCCATAGTTCTTAACTACTACACAACTTCAACCAACCACTTTACGGGGTTTCCCCTCTGTCAGTTTTACAGAGGCCTGCCCATTCTCCTAGTTTCTTGTCATCAACCTTAATTAAGTTGATTTGGTGTTCAGCACAAAGGGCCTCCACCAAGTGGACATACATAGGCTCATCACAGTTGGATGCAAGCACACACAGCACACAAAGATGGGCTTGGCACTTGTCTAAGCCTTTGGCAGCTTTGCAAATTTCACGTGCTAGGCCATCATGGATGACGGCGGTCTTCAGCACCTCCTGTAAAACAGTATTAATGTCCATTGCACCTCCAGCAGCACTGCCTTCCTCCGCCATGGCAGTGGGTTACGAGTGAAGCCAAATCTTGAATGCACCCGAGACTCCACCTCTATACAACTCGGTGGCGGCAGGGAAAAAGCAGGAGCCAGATTTCTTATAGTCAGAGAAGAGAATTACAAATTTGGAAAGGGTGAAAACTAGAATAAGGTTGGAATTGGAAGTACTGGTATAAACTCTTACAGCTTTCAGTATGTGTAGATACAGAGATGTATAGGTGTATGTGTATGTGTATGTGTGTGTGTGTGTGTGTGCATGCACATGCATTCATGTTTGTTCCCTAGCTCTGTTCCATGACAGGGCTTGGAAACAGCAATGGCACAAAACAATGAGCATGCCTACTGCCCAGATCTTGGTTTCTAAATACCATTTTCTGCTAAAAGAGATCAGATCTTAGAGAAAAAGCCCTTTGCGGGGTTAGTGCAGAGGAAATAAACTGGACAAATCAAAACTGTGACACCTGATAAGATGCAAGAAGACAATCTCTTTTTTGTGGTTTTCTTGCCAAAAAGGTACAATCTGAATCTAATAAAAAGGAAACATCAGGCAAACCCAAATTGAGGAACGGTCTACAAAATAACTGACCTGAAATCTTAAAAAATGTTAAAGTAATTAAAGTCAAGAAAGACAAACTTGTAAGAGTGGTGGAGACTAAAGAGATGTAACAAAATGCAATGTGAGCACTTGACTATGAAGGACATTGATGGGACAACTGGCAACTTGAACAGGGTCTGTAGGTTAGATGGTAATATATCAGTGTTAATTTCCCGATTTTGATCACTGTTGTGGTTAAGTAAAAGAATGTCCTGGTTTGTAGAAATGACACACTGAAGCCTTTACGATCATGGGGCATCACTAACTCCATGGCTCAGGGTAAAAGGTTCTTTGTACTTTTCTTGCAACTTTTCCTGTAAGTTTGGAATTATTTCAAAATTTAGAAATTCAAAATAGAATTATAAAAGTAATATTTTACATAATAAACAAGGGTAGCCTTTGTTAAAAAATCAGAAAAGCTGATATCAAAGTTCATTCTCTTAAGTGGACTTAAAGAATAATTAGCTCCAAAAGAAAAGATCTGCCAAGTAAGATGTTTTTCTCTTAGAAAATGGAAATTTAACTTCTAAATTTACTTTACATAACTCACAAATGTAACCGGTTATCTTACTTGGAAATTTTTCATTTTGCCAAATTTATTTTTTCTTGACTTTTCCAGGTATCCAGAGTTGATGTTTTTCCTAAAATAAACCACAGACTATATTTGGGACAAAGAGATACTAAGAAGTACAAAGGGTTCTTTCTCTAAGTGTTATGAAAAAGACTTCGAATTTAAATAAAGCTTACAAAGAAATCATAAAACTAATTTTAAAATGCTTTTATGTAGGCAAAAGGGAAATTGTAGCACTCTCACTACTTAATATTCCCAGTTCTGCCTGAAACAAAGACAAACATTAATTTTTAACAATCTTTGTCTCAAAATTCTATGAACATTTGGAAGAAGTATTTAAAGCTAATGCTTACTCTTTGCTTGAAATTTTGTATAATCTCAGGAATAGAAATGTAAGAAATAGAAGTCTTCTCATTTCAGTTTGCTAAGCACGTTCTTCATTCTTACACATTACAGGTCCACTGAATTCAAAGCTAAGCCAAAAATACCATGCGAAAGACTGCCTCCTAAATTATTTAAGTCTCTTTTGTAGCAAAATTTTCCCAGAAACTGAGAAACATCCACACAGAAAATCTTACCTTTTTATCAAAAGTTTATTTGTTATCCTTTTCTCATTTTCTGGGCATTTCAATGCATTGGCATTGACAATAGTGAAAAAAGTATTTGCTGTTATTCACATATCAAACACATGGTTTCAACGTGGTATGAAACCATGTTGGTTCCAACGTGGCTGACTCCTTTGTGTCCATTAAAACCATTTTCCTCATATCTAAAGTGAATCTTGGTATCTGTGATTTATGTTTAATACAGAGATGGGAAACGGTAAGTAATCTAATACTAGTCAAGTTACATGTATTCTTTAAAAAAAGCTCAAATAGTTGAATTAGGGTGATGGAAATTATACTCAAATCTGAAATTGTAATAAGGCTCCTTTCTGAAATTTAATGACCCATTCATTTTCTTTAGGTTTAGCTTAATGTTTTTCCTCTTTGTAATACCAACTGAGCTTTAACTTAATAACAAATGGTAACTATATATGATTGCATTAAATAGTCTTGGGCTATTTTTTGGTGAGCTCTTTGATTTGGTAACTACATTCCAAAAGTTAATTCTCAGTTACATGAGTTTAAATGGCATCCATAGCTGCCCCTTCACACAAACAGGTGTTCAATAATAGGGCTTATGAGAAAGACCCTGGAGACCAAGAAACTTCAGTTCTAGTCCTCAATATAGAAGTAGCTAACAATTTTGGATAAGTCATTTAACTTCTAGTCTTTGGTTTCCATATTTATAAAATGGAGACAATATCCTATCTACTTTAATAAGGTATCATTAAAATGTTTATAATTGGATAATATATTGAAGTATTCTGAAATAATATCAGTTCCTCTTTGTTTAGCATTCTCAATTTTTCAAATTCTTAACCCTGGGATTGAAGTTATTAAAGGCACTTGTTTCTCCTTATTTAAAAGATTTATGAAAGGCTCCTACCATGGCATGCCTTGGTTCCTATGGTTTTACTTTCCCTCCACAGGAAAAATGTATTGACAATTTTAGATTGTCAAAATTCTTCCTTAATGAAAGTATTAATGAGAATTATTTCGTTATTCATAGTTTGGTTAAGATTTATGACAAATCACAGCCAAAAGTACTTCATTGGTAATAGCTCGTTTGAGGCTTCCTGGGAAAAATAATAATGTCAGATTTGCATTTGCAATCTTAGAATATTATAGGATATTATGCTGTATAAATCTAGATATAACTTTTATTCAGATAATTTTTAAAAATTAGAACATGATTCTAAAGGTAGTATGTCTCTTGTGGAGGGAAATCTTGCTGAAATTAAAGCTTCTTAAGAGAGAATGTGTTCTGTTTGTGTACCTCTCTAAATGAAAGAATTAAGGAGAATTATTTCATTATTCATAGTTTGGTTTGTGGGGGTGAGAGAGGGAATGAGAAAAATCGTAAGACATCCTTGGAACAATTTAACACAAAATATACACATATATAGATCCTGAGATGTTACAACAAATTAACAATTATATAGATCAATATGATCCAAATGGTTTCCAAGACACCGTTATGGTGGGTAAACAGCCATTTTACGGCGTGTGCTCCGTGGATGTCCACACCATGCCAGGAAAACCCTACTCTTTGTCTCCAAATTTGAAAGCTAGTCATCCAGAGCAGGTGGCCAGTCAACATCTACAGACTAGAAGGGAGACAAGAAGTCATTAAAACAGATATTGCTGTTGTGGTAAGCATTTGCTGGTAATGCTGTATAAATTTAATAGTTTTAATATAATGCAACAGAGGAAACTGCATTTGAAGAAAAGAGCTATTGAATACCATAAATTAACACCGTGAAGTCTGTTCTAGGGATTCTTGGACCTGAGATCTTCTGAATTAATTGAGTAGCAGTATTTGGCTACTCAGTTGGTTATTAATTGTGCTTTTTGACTGACAAGAGAATACATTTAAAATTTTTAAATGGTATTTATGGGGCCAGACGTGGTGGCTCACACCTTTAATCCCAGCACTTTGGGAGGCCGAGGTGGGCAGATCACTCATGGTCAAGAGTTCAAGACCAGCCTGGCCAGCATGGCAAAACCCTGTCTCCACTAAAAATACAAAATTTAGCCGAGCATGGTGGCACACGCCTGTAGTCCCAGCTACTCGGGAAGCTGAGGCAGGAGAATAGCTTGAGCCCAGGAGGCAGAGGTTGCAGTGAGCCAAAATCATGCCACAGCACTCCAGCCTGGGCAACAGAATGAGACTCCATCTCAAAAAAAAAAAAAAAAAAAAAAAAAAATGGTATTTATGGGTCAAAGTAGCAAACAAATTCAAGTGACTACACCAATTTTCCCTCAGAAGTCTCAGAAACTTTCATTCTTCTGATCATTTTCATTCTCTCATCCTGCATTGAACAACTATTCAAGTAGTCTATACGCCTATAAGTCTTGTTTGCAATATAGCAACAAAATGTGAAATAAATGATTATGAAAGATGACCTGGAACTAGAAAAGGATTAAGGATCTTTGTGCTTCACTTCTGTAGAATTTCTGTTTCTTTAAAATCCAGTTCATCTATCTCTACTTACCTTTATTTTGTTCTTCTAGGACAAAACCTTGACCTTTGAGTCAGAATGAAATTACAGTAAACAGACTATTTGTCTCCACATAAACACATACCAGGTCTATCAAAGGCTAGAGGATCTACTTTAAGAGAAAGTTAAAACAAAACAAAAAAAACCCCCACTGTATCTGTGGTTTTTATTGACATTTAAAGTTTAAAACGTGAAATTATTTACTGAAAATTTCTTCATTAATCCATGAGTCACTTCATGTACTGGCTTCAAAAAAAATTTATTAGAAAAGCCTACAAGCTACGTGTGTGTGTGTCTTTTACAAATCTCAAGAAGATATTTTGGTTCTGTTTCAGAATATAGCCATATACCAAACACCCAAATGTAAATTAATGAGTGTTTTCTCAAGCTGAAAATAAAACATGACTGATCACAATCTCTGTGTGTGTGGAGGGAGGCATGTTGTAGTGCTTACAAAGCTCCACAGTGATTCCAGTGGGCAGTCAGTGTTGAGAAACACTGGCCTGTGAGTCTTTGACACTCCTAACTGTTCTGAGAATTAAGGAAAAAAAAGATTAATGCAAGCCTGGGCAACATGGTGAGACCGCATCTCAACAACAACAAAAGCCAGGCATAGTGGCTCATGCCTGTGGTCCCAGCTACTCGGGAGACTGAGGCAGGAGGACTGCTTGAGCCTGGGAGGTCAGGGTTGCAGTGAGCTGTGATCGCACCACTGCACTCCAGCCTGAGTGACAGAGCAAGACCCTGTCTCAAAAAAAAAAAAAAAAAAAAAAAAAAAAAGAATGGAGTAGAGATTTTCTTTAACAGAAGGTTGTCTTCCTCCAAATGATAGTTTCACTGAAGAGGCTCCCTGCAACCTTGAGGGCACGATCACTGGCTATACTGCAGGAGCTAATCTAATCCCAGAGCACTTGAGAGAACTGCTGGTAAGGAAATACTACTCCAGTGATCATTTGATTACCATAGATGCTTTCACATTGGGTAACTATGCCCACTTCTTTCTGTAACTTTGATATTATTCCCAAGTACAAATCCCCAAGTCCTAAGATTCTGGGGAGAGTAGTGGGGGAGGTACTCTATTCCTAGTCAGATTTTCATGAAGAAACACCACTCGTGACTCAACACTTACTGATACTCAAATGAAATATTTATAGAGACTTGCCCGACAGAACCATTCTTACAATTATTTTAGAATTTAACCTTGTTTCAATTCAGACTATAAGAGCAGAGAACTTGGACATCACAGGGATCCTTATAGAACTGCTTTTATGAAGAACCATTGGCTCACCTCACTTTCTACCCTTGTGAATCAATGTTTCTGAATAGGTTGCTTTAAAGTCTATAAAACGCAACAGGTATGGGAATGAATTCTCTAGAGTCCAAAGGACATATGGAGAACACTTACAACTTTATTTCCTTGCTTGGTTTAAGGGTTTAGATTTGATAAAGCACAGTTAGTAAATTAGCTATATATTTGCAAGGAACATGAGACCTCGTATTAAAAACAAACCAACAAAAAAATCCAAGGACAGTCCCTCCCTTCAATACAATGTTACTGTGAGATTTTCACCATTCTCAAATACCTATGGAGGTGGGTAGTACTAAAACAGCTTAATGCCAAAGCGCATAACTTTGGTCGAATTCACTTTGCCAATGTGCATTCCATAATAAAATGGTTTACCTCAACATCCAGCTCAAGAATGTCTGCGGTCACATTCATCAGGGACCCAATGTTTGGCTTGGTTCTCCCGAAGTCTCCATGTACAAACTCTTTAATGTAGCTGGGGTTTGTTTAAGGAAAAAATGAAGACAGCATGCTGTACCAACTATTTGGTAAGGTTTGACAGGCAAAAATAATAAGAGCAGAAATGTTACAAAAGAGAGGTTATTTCTGAGCTCTGACTTTTGTGCCTTAAAAAAAAAGCTTTGGCCAGGTGGTTCCTAGTAGGCTGGCAGCCAACATCAGAGCCTGGGAAATGTGTTTACATCAAACTTACCAAAAATCATTACTTTCTTTTTTCTTTATAGCTCATCTCCAAGTGCCAAGGTTTGGATGTGGATTTTAAAAATTAACTATAGCTGAATGCTTTTATTAAAAAGCAACTTGGCCACAATTTCTATATTATCATCTTGTTAGTCCCATTTTTTAATAATGGCAACTGTCACCTGCCAGATGGTACGTTTCCACAGAGTCACACACAGAGTGATCTCAATGATGGCATTCCTTGTAACATGACCCAGAGGCAATAGGATGGAAGGAATAATGAGACTATTAGTTTAGTCTTAATGATGGCTCTTCAGACCTACCATCTAGTTTGCTAACATGGTTAGCAAAAGAACTAAGTTAATTCTCTCTCTTTTTTTAAGGGGCAACTTTGTATTTCCCTCATAGGTCTTCACATTTTGAAATCAATAACTAATTCTAGAATTTGTTTTTCAGATTAACATTCCTTACACAGGACTGTACTGCAGCTTTGACAATATTTATCTAAAAGATTTGTTTTTGCCACCATTCAGTAAAAATGCAGCATTATGTTTTGTTCTGCAAACCAGCATTTAGTAGAAAATAATTAATGGAACTTGAATAGAGAAACAAATTTGTTTCTAGATGGTGAAAAATCTATACTATAATATACTGATATTATGTCCTCACTGTCTGAACGTTTTACTCACTCCACCTTTGCCAAATGTTTTGACTAAAGCACAAGACATATAATTATCTAGTAACTGTCTTTTTTGATAAACTCACAACTACCCAACAATTGTTATTTATTGTCTCCCATTTTCTTTAAAGAATCCCCTTCTGCGTAGCAATGATGAAGACAGAAAACCAAATGGCCCCAGAATAACCAGTTAAAACATCCAGAGACGTTCTTATTCCTAACCAGAGGGACAAGGTTTAAGTCAAATGAGCTATCTCAGTGCACTGATCAATGTAAATATATAAGGTATATATAAAGTAAATTTAGTAAGTGAAAAATTCATATAGTTCTGTGTATTACCATGTGGCATCTAAAGCTTTAACACATAGTCTTTCTTGGCTAATACCTTAAGTACATGTACATGGGTGGTTCTAAAAATGTTTTAATAGGATTGAAAAGACATCAAATTCTACAGAAGACATTTCTCCTTGGCCCACCAAAACTAAAAGCCAGGATTAGGTAAGAAGATTTTTAAAAATATATACATTATTTGAAATTCCATCCATAATAGGCAAATATGCTCCAAACAACAAAGATACAAAGATCTATCCACTGGAGTCAAAATTGAAATTGATGCAAATTACAAAATTTAGAAGATTTTAAGAGTAGATAACTTAAATACTTGGCTTAGCTGAGTAAATCCAGGTCCTGGGGTAGTGCAGGGGAAAAAGTGAATGCAGGTTGGTGGGGAAGGACAGGCAGACTAGTTACAGCAATATAGTAAGAATGGTATTTGGTAATTAAAACTTGTTTTCTATATATATATATAGTGTGTGTGTGTATATGACACACACACATACAATAGTACATCATTAGTTCTATACCAGTTAGAAGGCATTTTGTCACTTCATGCTATTGGATCACATAATAATATAAAACCAAGAAGCAAACAAAAACTAGGAAGGCCTTCAAAAAGTAAACTAAAGCTAAGCCTGTTAGAGCTCCCTGATATATTTTAATCAGCGACTCAGTTCTGATACAAAAATCATACAAGTCAGGTTAGATTATGAACAAATTATCAGCCTTGGACTATGGATATTTTAACTCTGAATCTCAACCTTTCTGTAATACAGTCAAAGCTCTTTGCAGTCTGAAAATGGTGATAATTATATGTCATCTGAGTTGTTTTAGTTTTGTTTTTTTCACAAGCTACGTAGACAAAGATATTCTCTGTTGTACTAGGCCAGTGGCCAAGTAAAGATCATGATGTAAAGTAGTGCTATTCCCATCTACTACCTGTGTTTAATCATCCGAGGCAAATACTTGAAATGTTGAAAAGACCCAAATATGGTCATAAATACGTGACTTGCAAATAATGTCAAGACAGCAAATGAATCCATCAAAAGTATTTTCTGAATACTATGTGCTCAGCACTGGGTAAGACACGGCAATGACAGGACACATAACTTTAAAGCTGACATTGAACTCACTGCTACCTCAGTGTTTAGAATCATTTTGAAAAACAAATTTAGTGGGAAAAAAACACATCGAACAAACAAACAAAAATATTCTTCTGCAGTACAATCCTTTCCCGAATCCCTCCCAGACCAAGCTGACCCTGTTTTCCAGAGCAGCATGAACTTTTCCAACAGGGTTCTGGCTCGATGGCGGCAGTGCAGCAGGTGGAAGGATACGTGCCGGCCTGAGTTTTCAAGCGGAGGCGGAAGTGGTGCTCATCCACATACTGCGTCTCCATGGAGTGAATGACGCGAACTCGCACAGCCAGGGGCCTTCGGTGAAGGACGCGCAAAGGTGTTTTCTGGTCGATCTTTAAGTCCTAGGGGAGAATGTGACACACAGTCCCGGAGTCACAGCTTTGCCACCCAGTGAAGCCTATCTTAGCCCTTCCCTCACCATCCATAGCTCACCACAGATGTTTCCTTTAGAGAACTCCATCTGTATCACGGGGTGGACACTAATTAATGGTAAAATGAATTGAGTCCCGTTAGGTTCAAACTCTGTGGGACTTCTCAGAACCCAGTCTATCATTACTCATTTTCTGGGCCCCAGTAACCTCGCCATTTAAAGAGGGCTTTGAAGTAAATAGGTCTCTTTTACTCTCATATTTAATAAATTGGTGAAGGCCCTGGAGTTCTGGCCTGCCCTTAAGGTCTATCGGGTTGCCCTAAAGACAAGGCCTTTACCTTTGTTTACTTTTTTTTTTTTTTTCTTTTTTTGAGACGGAGTCTTGCTCTGTCGCCCAGGCTGGAGCTCAGTGGCGCAGTCTCGGCTCACCGCAACCTCTGCCGCCCGTGTTCAAGTGATTCTCCTGCCTCAGCCTTCCGCGTAGCTGGGACTACAGGCGCCTGCCATCGTGCCATGCTAATTCGTGTAGAGACGGGGTTTCACCGTGTTAGCCAGGCTGGTCTCACTTCTCCTGACCTTGTGATCCGCCCGCCTCGGCCTCCCAAAGTGCTGGGATTATAGGCGTGAGCCACCGCGCCCGGCCCCTTTACCTTTGTTTTCTAACCCAACAGAGTGACCTAAGAGTGGGGATTTCAGGCTGCGTGAGAAATGGCTGGTTGCAGAAGGTGGGACATCAGCATCGCTTGGGTGTATGGCAGTTTGCGTTTGTTTGAAACAAGGTCTCGCTCTGTTGCCCAGGCTTGAGTGCAGGGGCGCCATCTCTGCTCACTTGCAACCTCCAATTCCTGGGTTCAAGCGATTCTCCTGCCTCAGCCTCCAGAGTAGCCAGAATTACAGGCACACGCCACCACGCTCGGCTAATTTTTGTATTTCTTTTTGGTAGAGACGTGGTTTCACCATATTGGCCAGGCTAATCTCCAACTCCTGACCTCAGGTGATCTGCCCTCCTCAGCCTCCCAAAGTGCTGGGATTATAGGTGGGCGCCATCGCGCCCCACTGAGTTTGCATGTTTTGGGGAGACCCACATACCTACTGTCAGGGGTGGGTTGTTTGGATTTGTTTTTTTTTTTTTTTTTTTTGGTGAAGGAAAAGGGTTATACAAAAGGATACATCTGGAAAAGATATTAATATTAATACATCTTGTTTAGGGTGATATTTCAATATAATAATTACAAATCAATGTGCATAATAAACCAGGACCTTCCAATGTTTGTTAGCCCAGCTTGCAACTAATAATACTGCATGTCTTTTTACATTTCAGATTTTTTAGGACACAGGCTTGTTTTTCTCACAATTCGTTCAAGTTAGAGATTTTCTGTCACAAGATAAAAATTAAGAAATAGAGGTTAACACTGTAAAAGGTCAACTAATTCCAAGTTTTAAAAATTGGGCGTAATCAGAAATTCAGATTCATAAGAACTGAATCCTCTGCATTTTCTTGTTGGAACAACTCTTCCTAATTTCCATGGTTCTTGAGTGCCGGAAGGCCTGCTAACGAAAGAAAAGTTTCTGTTTGGTCTCTCCTCTATCAAGTTCTCCACCAAGAAAAAAAGAGCAAGTTCTAACAAAGACCACATTTGAAAGGGTGTGGCTGCTTTTACCAGAGTGGTGAGTCAATGGCTCCTCCTAACTCTGTGGTTTTTATGAGTCTTTGATTTTATTACAGAAATACTTTGTCCTGATGAGATAAGCTGTCTCCATAAGACCTGATTTTTCTCTGGTCAAAGAGACAAAACAAAACAAAACAACAACAACAACAACAAAACATAAATAAAGGACAAGGCTGAACTGTGAAGGAATCTATAAAGACATGGCTTCCACTTTAGAGAAACAGCAGCCTTTAAATTAATGACTATCTATGGAGTCCTCTCCCCTGCTTCCTTTACCTTTAGAGTTATTCCTAGTACTTTGACCATGAGACAGTCGGTCAATGGAAATACCACGAGTCACATGTCTTTTTTGGTTTGTTTGATTTTAGTTGATAAAAGGAAACTACTTCATTTATTCTAATATTGCACTCTGCTGCTCCTGTACTGCTAAGTTTTCAGAAACACACAAACACACACATATGCTTGTTTTTTTTTTTTTTAGAAATAGGTTGCTCCTGAAGAGGGGATAAGTAGTAAATTTGAAATGACTTTTTCTCAGTATGGGGAAGTAAGTCGGTTTTTTAATTTTTATGCCAACTGGAATATTTGAAAACTAAAAACATTATTTGAAATCAACTAGTTGCATCAGTCTACTTAGGCTATGGACCATTAAAAGAGACCCTTTCACCACTTAGTCTGTACCTATGAAAATCATCTTTCAGCCCAGGCTGGAGTGCAATGGCACAATGATGGCTCACTGTGGCCTCGACCTCGTGGGCTCAAGCAATCCTCCTGCCTTGGCTTCCCAAAGTGTTGGGATTACAGGCATGAGCCACTGCACCTGACCTCAGCGTTATTTCTGAATTATCTCTATGGCTACTCCAAACTATGAACCTATTTTTTAAATGAGTTTATTATTCCCACGGCATTCTGAATAACTTGTACAACCCATGTGAAGGCATAGAGAAATTTAGAAATTCATTTTGCAATCTTAAAGATATCTGTCTATATTATAACTACCATTCTAAGAACCTTACATAGTATGGCCAAAAGTCAAAGGGCCTTAGCTATAGAATCACAGAATCTGAGAACTGGAGAGGCCATTGGAGATGATCTAGTCCATCTCCTCATTTTATAAATGACCTTCTTTAAGCAGGTGAATGATTTGTACGTTTTTACAAAAATACTCATACTATAAACATTATTCTGCACTTTGCTTTTTTCTCATGTCATAAGTGCTCCTACGAGTCATAGATATAGACATACCTCTATCTTTTTTCCCAGCATTTTTAGGTACATATGTACATACTAATATGTAAATTAAATAGGGTCATATGCTGGTTTTGTTTTTGCTTTTGTTTTGAGATGCAGTCTTACTCTGTTTCCCAGGCTGACTCTGTCCCCCAGGCTGGAGTGCTGTGACGCAATCTTGGCTCACTGCAATCTCTGACCTCTGGGTTCAAGCTATTCTCATGCCTTATCCTTCCAAGTAGCTGGGACTACAGGCATGCACCACCACACCCGGCTAATTTTTTGTATTTTCAGTAGAGATGGGGTTTCGCCATGTTGGCCAGGCTGGTCTCAAACTCCTGACCTCAAGTAAGTTATCCACCCACCTCAGCCTCCTAAAGTGCTGGGATTACAAGCATAAGCCACCATGCCTGGCATGATTTTGTTTTTTTAATAGCTGTATATATTCCAATTTACTCTACCATTTCCTTATTGAGGGACGTTGATTATGTTCCCAGTCTTTTTGTTGTTGATTCTGCCACTTAAAGCCCTTAAACACTGTGTACATATTCTTATGCACTGGAGTTTTATTTCTACAGGACAGTTCAGTATATTTTAAATTTTTACAGTCACTACCATGTTGTTTTTGAAAAAGGCTGAAACACTACATTTCTACTGAGAACTCTCCTCCACTCCAAGCCGCCGATAGGTATTATTAGTCTAAGGGGAATAAAGTGATGTCTTATTGTTACATCAACCTTTTCAAATGATTCTTGGCCACTGGAGTTATTCTTTTTGCAGCTAACTGGTTCATATTCTTTGTCTATTTTTATTTGTTGCGTGTTCATATTTTTCATAAGTATAAATTCTATTTATAGTATCTTTTGCCATACAATTTGTTTTCTACATAATCCACTATATGTGTATACATATACATATATATGCGTTTGTGTGTGCTTAAATCAGCAGTCCCCAACCTTTTTGGCGCCAGGGACCAGTTTCTGGGAAGACTATTTTTCTATGAACTGGGGAAGGAGGGGATGGTTTGGGGATGATTCAAGCTTGTTACATTTATTGTGCACTTTATTTCTATTATTATTACATTGTAATATATAATGAAATAATTTTACAATTCACCATAATGTAGATTCAGTGGGAGCCCTGAGCTTGTTTTCCTGCAACTGATGGATCATCAGGCATTAGATTTTCATAACGAGCATGCAACCTAGATCCCTCGCATGTGTCATTTCCAACAGGGTTCACGCTTTTGTAAGAATCTAATGCCACCACTGATCTGACAGGAGACAGAGCTCAGGTGGTAATGTGAGTGATGGGGAGCAGCTGCAAATACAGATGAAGCTTTGCTCTCTCATCCACTGCTCATTTTCTGCTGTGTGGCTAGATTCCTAACAGGTCACCAGCCAGTACCACCGGAGGGTTGAGAACCCCTGGCTTAAATCACAGCATATCATCCTCTCTAGAGTCTATACTTTTATTTTTTTCCTTAGCACTTACCAGAAACATTTTCCTGTGTCAATAAATATTTATCTACCACATAATTTTCAATGGTTGAATAGTAGTAGTCCATTATACAGATAAGTCATTAATATTAAACCAGTTCCTTCTAGTAGGTCATCTAGGTTGTTGCAAAATATTGCCTATTTAAACAATGGTGACTATATGTGTCTCTGTGCTGCCCATGTATGCTCATTCCTTGCATTTGAAAATAAACTGTTTTTGGCTGGGCACGGTGGCTCATGTCTGTAGTCCCAGCACTTTGGGAGGCTGGGGCAGGCAGATGACAAGGTCAGGAGTTCAAGACCAGACAGGCCAACATGGCGAAACCCCATCTCTACTAAAAATACAAAAATTAACCAGGTGTGGTGGCGGGCGCCTGTAATCCCAGCTACACGGAAGGCTGAGGCAGGAGAATCACCTGAACCTGGGAGGCGGAGGTTGCAGTGAGCCGAGATCGTGCCATTGCACTCCAGCCTGGTGACAAGAGCAAGACTCTGTCTCAAAAAATAAAAAAAAAAAAGAAAGAAAGAAAAAAGGAAGTAAACTATTTTTATAAGAAGAGGTGGGGGCAGGTGGTAAAAAGTATGCACGTGAACAGGCAGACACATGCTCAGGTATAGGAAAACTTCACATGTGGCAAAATGCATGTGCTTTACATATATTATCATGTGTTTTACTCATGTACTTAATCTCAGCCTCAGTTCTATTAGATAAGTGCTATTTTATATTTATTTTTGACAAATGACCAAAGATGATAATAGCATTGCCGAGTTTTTCCTATGTGCCAGGTACTGTTCTAAGTGCTTTATCTAATTAAACTCATTTAATTATTTTAACTAATTTTATAGATGAAGAAATTGAAGCAGAAAGAGGTTAAGTAACTTGTCCAAAGCCACACAGCTCAGAAATGCAGATCCAGGATTTGCACCCAGGCAATCTGTCTTCAGAGTGGGGCTCTTCCCCACTGGCCACACTGCCGCTCGAGCAGGTTAGATGACATGCCCAGTCCTTCAGCTAGTCAGTGGCAGAACCAGGCGTGGAACCCAGGTCTTGCTGACCCCAAAGCCCATGCCCTGTGACTTGCTAGTAATAAATTAGAAGACAATGGGATCTTTGATAGGCAACAGAAAAATGAAATAAAAAGAACAAGCACACTTAAACTACCTTTATGTCATTTAGGAATTCAATGTCTTTCTTCTGGATCGCTTTATCTGTCCATATTAAGGCACTGTAGGTCTTTGTCTTTTCTTCTTCACCTTCTTTCATATGTCCTATTGCCTCTCTAAACAAAAACAATTTTTAAAAGCTTGTCCGAATAAATAAAATGCAAACAAACCTTGCCCCAAATTAACCTTTCTTTAAAAATAGTTCCAATGAGATATAATTTACATATAATTTCTCAGTTTTATCTGTACAATTCAATGATTTTTAGTATGTTTTCAGAGTTGTCCAGCTATTACCACAATCTAGTTTTAGAAACTTTCATCACCCCGAAAAAGAAACTTTGTACCCATTAGTGTCACTTCCCATTATTATTCTCCCCAAGCCCTAGACAACCATTAACTGACTTTCTATCTCTATAGATTTACCTATTCTGAACATTTCATATAATGAAATCATACAGTACGTGGTGCTTGGTGACTGGCTACTTTCATTTCATAATGTTTTCAAGGTTCATCCAGGTTGCAGCATGTATCAGTACTTCATTCCTTTTTATTACCAAGTAATATTCCATTGTATGGATATATCACATTTTGTTTATTCATAGACACTTGGGTAGTTTCTACTTCTTTGCTATTGTGAATAATGTTACTAGGAATATTATGTACAAGTCTTTGTCTGGATGTTTGTTTTCATTTCTCTTGCATATATAATATCTAGAAGTGGTTAAGATTTGTATTTCCCCAATGACTAATTATGTTGAGCATTTTTTCATACATTAATTGGCTATTCCTATATCCTCCTTGCAGAAATGTCTACTTAATCATTTCCCCATTTTTAGTTGGGTTGTTAAGAGTTCTTTATATATTCTGGATGCAATTCCCTTATCAAGATATATGACCTGCAACTAAAACATCCCTTCGAAATCGTCTCCAGTGAGCCTACTCTTACCTTGTGACAAGCTGCAAGTCACGTACTTGGATTTTGTTAGATGAGTTATTAATTTTCTGTAGTAGCAGAAAAAGAAAAACAATTAGCAAGTCTAGCTCAGTTACAGAATTGCAGAAACATGACGATTTCCATGTCATGAAGTGGTTTACCTGCTGAAGTTCCTTAATTTCTTGTGAAGTGAAATGTACTCTATGAGGATTCACCAGCTCAATTGCAAAGGGCCTTCCTGGCAGCACACACCCCGTCATGAAACAGAAACGTGTTGATGGAGTTAACATTTGGGCTAATGCAAGAGGGTTAGGAGGTGTGAAAAATGGGTTGAGCTCTAGAGGACTGAAAGTTTAGTGACATGACTACATCTGAGGGAGGGAAGAATGTGTGAGAAGAATCAAGGGGCTTTTTGTGGGGGCAGAAGGGCTGCTAAACCCCAGCACAGGCAATATGTGAAAATGACTGCTTTCCCAAAGGCCCATGAACAAGCCTGTGTTAATTACAAAACACAGTTCAAATAACTGCTAATTAACTTAGTTACACTAATGTAAAGTTGTCACATGCAGCAATGCCCTGTTGAAATCCATCCTCCTAGCCTGATCCACTAGTGAAATGGAAAAGCTTTGGTTCCATGAGAGGAAGGAACTATAAGTCTCAAACAGTTGAGGATTAAATGTCATCATCTTTCCGATAATGCAGCAGGGTAAAATGGGAGACATGAAGGTTAAGACAGCAGAATCACTTTTTAAATGAAGATGTACATTTTGAAAACTATATTGGTACTTCTGAAATGTTATTAAATGAAAAAATTAATAATCAAACTTTTGGAAAAAAAATCAGGCACCTCTTTGTTAATGCACATACAAGTCCCTTATAACCTACAGGTATGCAATCAGGATGGCCTCTGAAGAAATGATTCCTGTTAAGGTGTATTTCATATAATTCATAAAGGGGCCTCCATAATCCACAAAGCTTCCTCCCTTGGAGAAGCTCTCAACCTTGCTCACTTTGTTTTTCACTGAGTGACTACTAAGCCTGCTGTCTAGAAAGGATGAATATCAGAAAGTTAGTTCTAATCAGGTGATGCTGTTGCAGTCTTACCATTTCCTAATGTTCTCACATCTACATCTTCTCTTCCAGAGGATGAAAAATTAAAACCTTTAAAAAGCAGATAAAGAAAAAAAAATTAGAGACATCATAGCCCTAAGATATTCATTCCCAACCTTTGGTAGAAACCCAATTGAAGGTCTTGAACAATCTATGGGAGAATCCCCCGGGAGAGTCATCGTCCCACCTCTAATGTCAATCTCTACTAAAAATAGTAATGCTAATAGTAAACACCATTTATTGAGAACTTATTATATGCCAGGCATTGGATTAAAAATTTTATATATATGATTTAAATTTTATTTACTTATTTTTTTTTTTTTTAGAAATGAGATCTTACTCTGTCACCCAGGCTGGAGTGCAGTACCATGATCATGGCCGACTGCAACCTCAAACTCCTGGGCCCAATCAATCCTCTTGTCTCAGCCTCCCAAGTAGCTAGGATCACAAGTGCACACCAGCACACCCGGCTAATTTTTTAATTTTTGTAGAGATAAGGTCTTGCTTTATTGCCCAGGCTGGTCTTTAACTCCTGAATTCAAGCTATTCTCCTGCTTTGGCCTACCAAAGCACCGGAATTACAGGTGTGAGCCACTGCACCTGAACCATGTACTATTTAATCCTTATTATAACCTTATAAAGTAAGTACAAAATAAAAGAACACCAAGCTTCAGAAAAGTTAGGTAATGTTCCCAAGGTCACACAAGTAAATGGCAGAGCTAGGTGTTTCTGATGTTAAAATCTGACCTTAACTACCATCCCATGGGAAAGCCAAGGCAGAGTCCTGTTTGGAAGAAGAGCCCACCACCCCTCTGGCCATAAGCCTATGGTAAAAACTCTACCATCTTTCTCTTTTTCCTTAAAACAGAACCAAGCAAAAACATTCATTATTTAAGAATTAAACTCCATGAAAGAAAAAGGAGGGAAAAAAAGGTTTGACTCTAAAAAGCAAATTCATTATATATGTCATCAAACCAAAGCTGGAAACGTGATAAAACCAGTGTATGCTCTATCATAAGTAGATCATCACAGACTAAAAGCTGCAAATATTGGAAGAGGAAAATTTTTTTTGTTGTTGTTGTTGTTTTTTGTTTTGTTTTAAAGGCAAGGGGCTTATACAACTACGTTTTTATTTTTTTTATTTTTTTTATTTTTTTTGAGACGGAGTCTCGCTCTGTCGCCCAGGCTGGAGTGCAGTGGCCGGATCTCAGCTCACTGCAAGCTCCGCCTCCCGGGTTTACGCCATTCTCCTGCCTCAGCCTCCCGAGTAGCTGGGACTACAGGCACCGCCACCACGCCCGGCTAGTTTTTTGTATTTTTTTAGTAGAGACGGGGTTTCACCGTGTTAGCCAGGATGGTCTCGATCTCCTGACCTCGTGATCCGCCCGTCTCGGCCTCCCAAAGTGCTGGGATTACAGGCTTGAGCCACCGCGCCCGGCCACAACTACGTTTTTAGACATAGAACTAGGCCAGGCAGGAAGTAGGAGTCTATGAACCACTAAGTCCCAAAAAACTCTCCATTCTGTGTTTACACTCCAGTGTGAAGTTACTAATAAATCCATAGGAACATCAGTATCTTCTAATCAGAGTCAACAGACTCAACCTGTAGTGCTAACAACAGATGGATGGCCATGGCTCAGTGGTGAATTCAAAAAGGGCATCTGGGAAGCCGAAGATGCAGACTCCTTGGGGCTACGATTTGACTTCTACCTGCCCATCCCTGTCTCCCAGTCAGCCCTGTCAGGAAAACAGGGGGTCCACAGTGACTGAACAGGAACCTGTGACTGGCAGGGGTGAAGGGAATGAACAGGCCTCGAAGAGCTAAGTCTACTAGTTACTGAAGGAGCAGAAATCTTAAATTCATAAGTCAGCCATAAAACTTCCCACAAATTCCAGCCCATCAGTAAGAAAGAGGTGTAGAAAGCTAGGCCCTTGAGAAGGCCACAAAAGCATCTGATCCAGACTAAAGGAGAAGGCATATTTACTGATCTTTTAGAAAAATGTTTCAAACCAGGCTGGGCACGGTGACTCATGCCTGTAATCCCAGCACTTTGGGAGGCTGAGGCGGGTGGATCATGAAGTCAGGAGATCGAGACCATCCTGGCTAACATGGTGAAACCCGTCTCTGTTAAAAATACAAAAAAATTAGCTGGGTGTGGTGGCACGTGCCTGTAGTCCCAGCTACTCAAGAGGCTGAGGCAGGAGAATGGCGTGAACCCGGAAGGTAGAGCTTGCAGTGAGCCAAGATCGTGCCACTGCACTCCAGCCTGGGTGACAGGGCGAGACTCCGTTTCAAAAAAAAAAAAAAAAAAAGAAAAATGTTTCAAACCTGAAAATTAAGGAAACATCCTTGGACCTCAGAGTGAGAGAAATTTGGAGGGGACAAACCTGAAAACTTACTAGTGTGCAATTATAAATGGCAGCTGACAAAAAAGGAAAAGAAGCCACTCCCTTAAGTATTAGAAAATACATGCTTAAAACTCAGTTGAGTTTTTTAAACTCACATTGTGCCTTGTCTCATTCCTCTAAAAAACAAAATCAAGGGCAAGAATGATCAGGAACTATAAGGGGTTCAGCTAATCTGCAGTGGTCCTCGTACTTGGGACAGACAGACAATGGGACCAAAAGATGGGCAGAGGCCAGACAATGAAGGACCCAGAATATCCAGGTAAGTGGACTTCATCCTGTAGCTAGTCATTGACCAGTTTTTAGCAGGGAACTGACATGGAAAGTATGTATTCAATAAGTGAATTAATAAATAGGAGAAGATTTCTTAGACATACAGATTTTTGAGAGCATGTCAAAATTATTACTCATTAGGGAATTAACAAGTAGATAATAAGACATGCAGTCTGAAGTGACTGAGAAACAAGTTTGTATATCTCACATAGGGGAAGGGATGTTTATATAGGTAGCCACACTGCTCCATGCAATACTGGCTCAGTTTATAGAACTTTAACACTTAGGAGTACCACAGTTAGAACCATCTTCCCAGAGTTGTCAGATGTGAACCACTAATCAATAATAAGTAATATATCTGAGAAGGGCAGGTTCAGCAAATTGATGTTATCAATCAGAGATTTCAAACAACAAGATTTTATCTCCTGACAGGGAGCCAGTTAGCACTGAGGCCCAGAAGTCTGCTTTTTCTCAGGGGACTCTCAATAAATTATGTCAGGACACATTTACAGCTATCAAACATGCAATATTCTTCTTTTCAGTTTGGGAATAATTTTCCCCCCATCAAATGGAAAATGACAACAAACCACCTTCATTAAAAATTGTAAGGGAGAAAACACAACTGTTTCAGAGTCAGTCCTCCAGCAGCCCTAGAGATAACAGGGTCTTCCCTGGGGCCCAAATAGAACTGAAACTTTGTTGAATCTTCTTAAAGAAAAGGAGTAAGGTGGCATAAGGGAAATGGCTGTGCTTTAGTCAAGAGTAGGCTGAGGTGGCCTTCCGGCGCAGCATGACTCAGCGAGTTTAGAGTGCAGGTGCACAACCCCACTCATTATGTAACCACGCCACGTGAGGCACATTAGGTGCTCACTCACATGAGCTAGTGCTTGGCTTGGTACCACTATTGTCTGTAAAATGTATAACTACCCTGCTGACGCTGTACATACCATTCAGACTGGGGCTTGCGCCCAGAGACAGAGAATAAAGCCATGTTGAAACTCACTATGATTCCTTGAGTGTTCTTTCAGCTGCCCACCACTCATCCACCCACTGCCCTCCGTCCTCTGCTTGGGCTGGAACCCGACACTTGGTGTTGCACTTGATGTAGCAGGATACTGACATTTAGAAGCAACAACACCCCTCTTGCCTGAGATTGGGATGATGTGGCTGAGACTGCCTTCCTAGCAGCCAAGCGGGTTATTCAGCAGGTACAAGCCCTTTGGGTTCACATGCTCCAACTGCACTGTGGATTGGGCCCACACCTGTGCTGAGGTGACCAATGTTTCCAACTGTTGGATCTGTACCGCCCTTCCAGCAGCAGCTGTGGATGGTTTGCCCTGGCACATACATCCCACATCTGTAGAGAAGTGAACATGGTTGGAGGCTTGAGGTCCCACGGCTGACGCCTGGAACACAATGCACAAGTTTTGGACAAAGGATGTTGCAAGACCCATGGCATGCTTGCCCCCTGGTTGGCCCATGGCATTTATGATGGATGGAGCTGGTCAGTGAGGGAACATGTAGTACCCCCAGCCCAGGCACTGTGGTGCATAGAGCAACATTGGGGTAATACCACTGTGGGATGGCTACCCATCATGGTCTGTATAAACGTAACACAATGCTGTACCTTTATCCCGGATAATCAGCAGAACATAAAAGCAGCTCTGCAAGGGGTCTCACGGGAGATTAAGACAGTCGAGGGCTTTACTGATGACCCCCTGCAGAGATGGTGGGCATCCCCAGGCTCTGGCCTATGCTGGGCCCTAATAGACATAAGTAGCATAGTTGAGATCCTAGTAGTGATCTGTTGCTCTCTGTATTGTTGTTGTGGATTATGGATTCAGGGCTCTGCCCTATGGGCATGTGTCCCTGCCCAGAGGACACCCTCAGCCTGGGGGGTGGAGTATAAGGGAAATGGCCGCGCTTTAGTCAGGAGTAGATTGAGGCAGCCTTCCAGCACAGCATGACTCAGCAGGTTTGGTGCGCAGGCGCGCAACCCCACACATTATGTAACCACACCACGTGAGGCACATTAGGTGATCACTCACATGAACTTGCGCTTGGCTTGGAGCCACTATTGTCTGTAAAAGGTATAACTATCCTGCTGATGCTGTACATATGGCTCATGCCTGGGCTTTTGCCCAGAGAGAGAGAGAATAAAGCCATGTCCAAAACTCCCTATGACTCCCTGAGTGTTCTTTCAGCTACCCGCCACTCATCCACCCACTCCCTTCAGTCTTCAGCTTGGGCTGGAACCTGACAGTTGGCGTGACAGGTGGCCCCAAAAAGAATTCAGATGAAACTTTTTGTGCTAAAGCTTTATTTTCATCCCTTCATAATCTGCATAAGTCTTACATGATAATTCATTTGTAAATACCAAATTAAGTGGGCAAAAAAGCTCATGGCAATAGTCCAGGGTCTTTACTGCTAAGATTTTGGAAAATATTAGGGTGCTGGGATACTTTTTTTTCCATTCAGTAAACAATTCTTAAAGACCCTTAAAGAAGGTCCACCTATGCGATAGGCAACAAATTATAAGAGGGATGTGGTTTGAAGTGTTTCTCTTTCCTCCTTGCAAGTCAGGGAGCTGGAAGGGTCAGCCATGTCTCATCTAGACCATGTGTTTGTCATGATCAAAGCATGTTTATCTTAAGGTCTTTCAGAGAGAAGGATGGATTTCTAGCTGGTCTGTCAAAAAAGGGTTTTCTGGCTGAGTGTGGTGGTTCACATCTGTAATCTCAGCACTTTGGGAGGCTGAGGCAGATGGATTGCTCGAGTTCAGGAGTTTGAGACTAGCCTTGGCAACATGGCAAAACTTCATCTCCACAAAAAATACAAAAAAATTAGCCAGGCATGGTGGTACATACCTGTAGTCCCAGCTACTTGGGAGGCTGAGGCAGAAGGATTGCTTGAGCCCCGGAGGTAAAGGCTACAGTGAGCCATGATCACACTACTGCACTATAGCCTGGGCAACAAAGTAAGACTCTGTCTCACAAAAAAAAAAAAAAGGTTTTCTAATTATGCTAGGAGCCTCATTCCAAAGAGTAACATCATTCATGCCCTGCAGTTTTTCCTGACGTGTAACACAATTTCCTGCAATTGAAATCACAAGACTTTATGCTGCCTTTGACCTGACAGGCCTGTTGAGACAAGGAAAACATAAACCTGATGGAACCTGACTCATCCCACGAACCTAGGCTCGTTAATACCTAAATTCAAAAACAATACAGCTGTCATTCAGTCTTTGTAAAATGGCTGCTGTTGATTTACTTTATCTAGGCCTGAACTTTATTCCAGGACACTTTATAGGTTAAGAGAGAAGCCAAACACTTGCCAGTGATTACTCTTGAAGAAGCACTGGATGTGGAAGATGTGTTTTAATTTCCTCATATTCCCCCAAAGAGGCCAAGGCAGAGGCGTACCAAGGTCAGGGCTTAGGTGCATTCATTTAAAGTAGTTGTTTTGAATTTCCCCAGGAAAGAACAGTCATTTTTTTACTTTATTTTTTATTTTCTTAGGCAGAATCTCACTCTTTCACCCAGGCTGGAGTGCAGTAGTGTGATCTCAGCTCACTGCAACCTCCGCCTCCTGGGTTCAAGTGATTCGTGCCTCAGCCTTCTAAGTAGCTGGGACTATAGGTGTGCACCAACAGGACTGGCTAATTTTCGTATTTTTAGTAGATACAGGGTCTCACCATGTTGCCCAGGCTGGTCTTGAATTCCTGACTGCAAGTGATTCGCCTGCCTCAGTCTCCCAGAGTGCTGGGATTGCAGGCACGCGCCACTACACCCGGCAGAGCAGTCATCTTGAGAGAGGACAGGCAGATATTCTTGAGTGCCTTGGCTGAAATCCAGCCCCGGCCAGTGGCACCCAGAACATGATGATCCCTGTTCACAGGAAGCCTATGGCCAAGAGGCCCAGACTTGCTAGTGATTAACAAAACATAGAAATTTTTCTTACCACCTCCAAGAACTCTATTCATGAATGTCAGTGTATTAAATATATGGCCGAGTACAGTGGCTCCTGCCTATAATCCCAGCACTTTGGGAATCCCAGGCAGGAGGGGCACTTGAGCCCAGGAGTTCAAGACCAGCCTGGGCCACGTAGTGAGAGTCCCATCTCTAAAAATATATTAAAAAATAACCGAGCATGGTGGCCCATACCTGTGGTCCCAGCTACTCAGGACACTGAAGTGGGAGGGTTGCTTGAGCCTTTGAGGTTGAGGCTGCGCTCCAGCCTGGGTGACAGGGTGAGACCCCCTCTCTCTCAAAAAAAAGAGAATAAGATATGAAGATTAGGTCAGGTGGGGTGGCTTATGCCTATAATCCCAGGACTTTGGGAGACCAAGGTGGGCAGATCATTTGAGCCCAGAAGGTTAAGGCTGCCGTGAACTGTGATTATGCTACTGTAATCTAGCCTAGTTGACAAAGAAAGCCCCTATCTCAAAAAAAAAGAAATAAAGTATGAAGACTGTAACACTTACTCTCTGCTTTGAATACTGCCAACAGATGATCTGAAATTAATTCTTCCACTGAAGATTCCAGCTTTCTTTCTCCATCAATTATCCAAGGAGTTTGTGGTAGATTCCTGGAGTATTTATTATACCTCCCTGAGAAAGAAACAATCAGGCAGCCTGGATGGAATGGAGTAATTAACATAACAGGATAAAAAGAGAAGCAACAACTATAAGGGCCAATATCCTAAGTGCTACGATATAAAACAAGGCCTATCTTTTACCTAACTAACAACTCAATTCGGAGACCTGGGACACAGACATGTAGAGAATTAAATAAAAAGGTTTAAAGTAACAATAAAATAGATGGGTAAATATATGATATGAATGGTGCATCAAATGAGTTGGAAAGGAATGCTCAATATATTTAATTTGATTGGCTGACTGAACAAATTATATAATATTATTAATGTACCAAGGATTAAAAAAAACAACAAAAAAAAAACCCACAACCAAACTTGCTTTTACACCTGATGAATAAAGCTACAGTAAGGCAGGTAGCTTTCATTGCCCTAGGATAGGATATTATAGTCAGGGCTGAAGAGCAATTTCACTTCAGCCATTACTATAAAACAGTTGTAACTTTCGAACAAAAATTTGTCTGCCAGATTACCTTTAGGGAAAGTCAATGAACAATTTATTTCCAGTGGAAGCCAAGTGTTTAGTCATTTTGGAGACAATAAATTGTTTTTTCAAGTTTGCTTTTATGTTATAAAACAGCCTCTGTCCTGCTGTTTTTCTCCAAACCAGTTTTGGGTCTCTGCATCTACCCATATTTCTACTTGGCCATCTCTGATGAAAACTATTAAAACCTAGGAAGTGTCATTTCCTTTTGGCATGGCATTTAAAATAACTGATCTCCTAAGTGATCCTTTAGAATGCCCACAAAACCTAAAATAAGTTTGGCTATTGATTCTACTTCTCAAGAGAGTAAACTTATTAGAATCTATTAACAGCAATAAGAATAAAATAGAACAGGAGTCAGTTGAGTTTTCAGAAAGGAGAGTACGTTCACAGTGTATGTATATTCTAGACTAAATATTTTACCAGCCACAAAAACAGCACCATGAGCACATTCAATTTCAAGAACAGTGCATACAGCCTTTGGTGAGTTTGGAGGACAAGGAAACTGCCTGCAAAACAAAATAAATTTTATAGCTATTTTCCAGACATAATATTGAATCACAAAACTTAGATGAATCAGCATCGTCTGAGACATACACAGAGCCCAAGTCTCTTGCTAACTTTTAGTTTCAGAACAATAAAGGTCTTGCAGGCCTGTGGAGTAACAATTTTAACATATGAGAGTGGCAGTAAGTAAATAAGGGCTCTGCTGCTACCTTTCACCCTCGGGAGGCCTTATCTTCCTAGGCAAAAACTGCAATTACTTTTGCACCAACCTAATACTTTCCAATAGTCTCAAGATTTGAGGGAAAAATCCATACAAAGGAAGTGGAAGTCCCATCAGGCTCTTTAACCATTTTGCTGTCCATGGTCATGTGCAGTTTACTGCTGTCTCTACCCCCCTTATCACATCGTTTGAAATGTATTGAAGGATCTTCTGGAAAGAAAACTACAGTAATATTTTATTTAATAAAATGAATGTACCAAGAATTAAAATGTAAGGTTTATTGCATTTATTTTATTTTACCATATTTTAACAAGTGAGGAAACTCATGAGCCTTCCTCTCCCTTTTTTGGAGATGAACGATACTAGGAAATACAGGACTAAGGATGTAATGGGCGTAGCACTGGGCTAGAATGTCAGGAAATCTGGCTCCAGATCTACTCTATTACTAGCTTAGGCAAGTCAACTCCCTCTTTGGACACAATACCCTCTTCTAAAAGATCAAGAAGTTAGACCTGATTTGGCTGGGCACAGTGGCTCACACCTGTAATCCCAGCACTTTGGGAGGACGAGGCGGTTGGATCACCTGAAGTCAGGAGTTCAAGACCTGCCTGGCCAACATGGCGAAACCCTGTCTCTACTAAAAATATAAAAAATTAGCCGGGCAGTGGTGGTGCATGCCTATAATCCCAGCTACTTGGGAGGCTGAGGCAGGAGAATCACTAGAACCCAAGAGGCAGAGGTTGCGGTGAGCCGAGATCGCTCCACTGCACTCCAGCCTGGGCAACAAAGGTGAAACTCCATCTCAAAAAAATATATATATATATTTTTAAAAGACGTTACACTTGATATTAATTTGACAAACATTTACTGAACACCACTATATGCCAGGTACTGCATCGGGGTTGGAGAGATAACAATGACTAAGACACAATCCTGGCCCCTGAAATAAATCATCTTGTTTCAGAGATAATCCAGCTTATCTCTAACATTCCCTTTATTCTAAATTTCATGACGCTTCTTTGTTTCTATACTTCTACTTACTTAAGGAAATCCTCTTCTTTTATCTTATTCAAGGCTTTCATAACTGCCATTCTAGTGAATACAGACTATATAGGGTAAAATGAGAAGAAAATACATTTTATTATCCAGACAAGAAAACGTCAGATGTGAAACATAGAACATGGTTGGAGAAATTGTATCATTTCATTACATCATTTCATATACTTAACATGGAGAAATACTTAAGCTTTTTAAGAAAATAAATAAAACTTAAGCATTCATGTCAGTTCTGCAACTGGCATACCTCTATAACCCTTCTCTTCAATCTGGTCTATGTCTATAATAACAGGTAGATCCAGTAGAACAGGTCTTCTTCACCACACTGTCCCACTTCTCTCAAATTATGGTATAATTCAAATACAAAAGAATGATGACATTGTAGGAAGTGTGATTTAATTTTTTTTCCCTTGACTTCAACAGGAATTTAGATTGATTCAGCTACCTTTTCTTTCCTACATCCCTTCAGAGGTCACAGTATGTAATTTAGGAGTTGGCTGCCAGGGTAAGGGGTAAAGCAGAGTCAACCTGCCGGCCCTGGCATCTAGCAACTCAGTCTCACTCACCAGCCACAGAATAAGCAAATCCACTATACTGAACAGAAGGGCATCTACAACAAATGTTCCACTTGGATTTTTTAAGATAAGAAAAGCCAAACTGCATGGTAGATATACTAGAACTAATTAGTGCATATATACATGGCTTACTATGATAAATCACAATTATTTCTTCTGTTATGAGAAATCACATTTGACTGAAAAGGATTACAATGGAGGCAGCTCAACAGTTTATCACCAGTCAAAGGAATGATTTTTTCAAAATCATATTCTAGGGACCACCATGGCATTCTACAAGACACCATAGGGTTACAACTTAAATTAAGTGCCTGTTTGATAAGATATGAAATCTTAGGACTGAAAAAAATCTCAAAAGGTCATTCAATTTGCTCCCAGCCATGAGGCAAGCAAACTATACTTGAGTCTACAACTCCCACTGGCCAAATGGTGTGGTGTCTATGATGCTTTAACAAAAATCTCTTAATCCTATTACTTGATGCCTATTATTATATTTCCTCAAGGGTAAATAAAATAAAACTAGGTCTTCAATATAGATACATCTTACAGGTTATTTGGGCAGAGCTTCCCAACTGGCATGGCAAAGCAGTGGACTATGGTTGTGCCAAGATGTTGATCTCTTTAGTTCAGAAGGGCTGCTAGGCAGGGCCTCAGACAGTGGAAACCCCAGTCCTGTTGCTGCCAATCTGAAGCAACTCCATCCTGTTACACTCAGGGTGCTGAACAAACATGGTAATATTTTAGATGTGCCATGATAAGAGAAAAGTAGGGAGGCGCTGCTTTCGGCTTGGTCTGCATTTCTAATTATTTCTGTACAGGGCATTAGGCAAATGTTACAAACTTCTTTCCCCCAGTTCTAAAAGGCCCAGCAATTAGTCAAAGCAAGAGGCAAAGCCAACAGATGTATATTTGACAATGAGCTTATGTTCTTTTTAACAATCACAGCAACAAAATGAATGTAAGTAAAGCTGTAGGAATGCCTAAGTCTGTGTACGAAATCACCTACAAAACTGACACATGAAAGATGACCAATATCACACCACATCATTCTATCCTGACATGATATGAGCTAAGAGTGTATGTTAACTAACTTGTCCATTAACATGAAGATTAGCTAACATTAAGATGATAAGGAAGAGTTTGAATAAAACACCCTTTTTGCAAATGTAGCCAGAAAGAGGCCATGTTAATTCAGGACTGTCCTAAATAAAACAACTTACTTTGGATTATATATTGTAAACCTCAATTTCTGGAAAATGGGTATCAGCTGAAAGTTTGGAATGCTACTGACACTTACCATTGATTTTCCCAGATGATGTAATTTGGGGTATTAAAATCTAAACGTCGAATTTAATAAGTAATAGTAATATCACTGAAACATTGATTCTAAATTTAACACCGTCAGGGGAACAATCTAGACACTGACACAAACATGAGGATGTTTGTGTGCTACAACTTCCTAGCCAGAGGTGAAGGTTGAAAAAGTTGAAAAAAAATAAAAATTAATGTAGCAAATGGAAATATTTAAAGACTGATTCTTAGTATAATAGAGTTGCCATGTTTCTAATGCATATCCTTTTTGTTGGAAATTTGAATATTCAGCTCAGACAAAACTCACTCAAGAGTAAGAAGCAGGAACCTTTCCTTACCTGTTTGTTTTTGGCTGGCTTAAAACAATCTGGGCATATCGCAGCTCTAAAATAAAATTCAAGTTAATGTAAAAGGTTGAGTTTATTTTGGGGTAGATATAATTCAAATATATTTAATACAAAATGGCTGCTAAACTCAGGACATCAGGAGCAGACAAAATGAGTCCCTGTAGGAGCTACGTCGGTTTGCCCAGGAACCTATGTTCAAGGACACATTTTATTTTATTTTTTGAGGGCACATTTTAAACCTACTAAGACATAACGAGTTCTGAAATGCTTATTAGGAAGCATTTCCTATGCTTATGAGAAGCAATACTATTTTCATGAAAACCAAACAGCATTAACAATTTTACACCACTGACGTTGTTTACATGGCAACTTACAGGAAGTGGCAATCCTCAACTGTTTCTGGGTGAGCAAAGACCACACTCACTTCAAACAAGCTCTAAAAATTATAAAGACAGTTTAAAAATGAGCAAAAGGAAACTAACATCTAACAACTTATGAATGGAAATAGAAATTAATTCTCAAACATTGGCTCAGAAAAGAATGACCAGAAAAACTGGAAATACTACTGCTCTCAAATCAACTTGTTCACAGGCCAGCTGTAAAGGAAATGGTTTTTGGTTTTTTTTCTGACTTCTAAAACTCAGTCATTAGTGATCCTACCAAAAAAGTTTTAAAATAAATTTGTATGCTTTTTGGACAAATGCGTAAATTAGGTGTGAAGATGAATGAGAATTTACAGAATTGAAAATAAATAATAATGCAAAGAAATGAAGAATTATTCTGCCAATACTACGATTTAAATTATTAGCAAGGCAAAAAATATATATTCAGATCCCTAAAAACCGTATGAAGCTTCTTTTTAAAGTGCTCAAACGTCTTAATGTATTGTAATTTTTTGTTTTATTTCAAAAATTATACACATAAATCATAAAATGATCAAATACAAGATAGTTTTTCAATCCCACTCCACTGAAGCAGAACCATTAACAATTTGATGTTTTTTCTAGACATTTTTGTGAATATAAATGTATATGTATTATTTTTTAAGACATGCTTTTGAAAAATTGCTTTAATATTATATCATGGAAATCTTTTCAACTCCAGGGACTGTCAGACATTTAAGCTGTAGAAAATTTTTCTGTAACAACAACAACAACAAATGCTACAGTGAACATCCTTGTACACCAAAAAAGCATGATTTTATACTTTTACCTCCATGGAGAATACACAAAATTCCATATGGGGGAAGTGTGTGTGGGGAGAATAGCTAAAAATGCCATACTATGTTACAATTTTGTCTTTATATTTACTGAGTTCATTGGATAGTTAGTAGACCCATTAGCTACTCTAGAATCACAATAATGAATAGCTGTTTTTTGTTTTGTTTTGTTTTGTTTTTTCCTCCTTATTCTAATCTATACAATAATTAAAGTGAACAACGCATTCCTTTTATTCAGGGAAACTTCACTCAACCCACATCTTTTGTTTTCTATTTTCTGTTCTCACTTATATGACATGTAAAATTATTTGTGCTTCAAAACTGAAATTTGAGGTAAAAATATTTTGCATTAATGACTTCTCTAACTTCCAAAATACTTTCATTACCTCATTTCCTCTTCATGCTATCTGAGAAGTGGTTTTATTCTCTATTCTCTCAATATTCAGTTTACAGAACAGAGCATATTCTTACAGAAGGAAATATTACTGCATAATTCAGAATGGTTTTGAAAAACTGTTTAGCTTTAGTAGGTGGTTTTGTGATTTTATTTGAATAGGGGTATATCTGATATTCAGGGAATTTCCTTCTAGCAAAATGATGAAACAATGAGGCCATAATATTAAAATCTAATTTAAGATGACCTTCCTATTTTCACATCTGGAAGCCTGTAGAGTCTTCCCTGAAATTCAACCCATTTCAGAGACTGAGGTAAGGTCTGCTCTGGAAAAGGGAAATGTTCTGCTTTCAAAGGCAGTTATGCCTAAAAGTAAACAGGGGGATTTGAGATACCAACAAGGTAGGATTGAGCCCATACTCATTGTAGTTGAATAGGTTCTGTCCATGCATTTGAAAACAAGACTAGACACAGATAAACCAAAATTAAATAGTCCAGAGTTGACTCTACATTTGCTTGCAGTTATTTATATGTTGTTTTGCATCAAGTCTGTTCCTCCAATTGAACTATAAATACATTAAAGGCAAAGATTCATTTCTAACCTTTTAAGGTCAATTAGGGCACTTGGTACCTTCATAAGTATCTTAGGTCATAAAGATGTTTTAGGGAAAAAAAAAAAAAAGAAATGCTTTGACTTCAATTTAAGACTATCAGAATTTAACATTTGAAAAGCTTAAAAATTCTTCACTGGATTATTTAAAAAGAAGTTTTTTTTGGCTAACCAAAACCCTGCCATATAATTAAGCAAAACTAGTAAAATCAGAGAATAAAATTAACAACGCTGTTGACCCGATACCTTTCCATCAATGGGAACACCCAGTTCCTCTGAAAACAGGGGGTGAGTTATCCATTTGTAGGCTTCTTTTAGCTGAACTATATCATCTCTTCCCAGCGACAGACTCTGCTTTCTGAATAACATAAAAATTAATTCACTGACATGAAAAACTTTACTTTTTCTATTAAAGGCAAGAATTTATGCAATTATTTTTAAAATATTCATTGAGTGCCTAGCATGTACCAGGCACTATTCTACACATTAAATAGAAAGCAGAGAACAAAGCAGACAAAAATTCCTCACCTCATGGATCTTATACTCTAGTGGAATCATGGAATTACTTTTTTAAAGGCATATAACACAATTTTTAAAGCTTCAAAGTCAAAAGCACACTATTGGGTTTTTCTGAGCTAGAATTGCCAGATTCCAGGATTTGGAATACATCAGAAGACAGAAAGATGGGATAGAGATGATTGTTTACTGCTCACAAACTATAAACTGTGTATTACAATAATCACATCCACATTTTAATGCTTGCTTTTCCTCTCTTGTTGAAAATGGGGCTTACTTTTGGGAAATCAACATAAAAGTTGTACTTTTTAAAAAACTTTACTGATGAAGAAGAAATATTAAATCCTGAAGTATCAATGTTCTGAAATGCTCATCAATGTATTATCAGATAAATAGCTGAATAAAAATTTGACATTCCCCCAAAATATACTCATGAGACAATAAATAGGTTTTGGGAAGTCCCTTTTATAAATTCTAGCTTTAGTTTGTAACCTAAAATTGTGATAGAAAGGAACTTGAGATAAAAGGGATGAAAAACATGGTGTGGTATTATTAAAACTCCTCTACTCTGCTGAGAACACTGGGATATTACTAACAAACTAACAAGCCCACATCATTCAAATAATTGAAACTTCAAACCAGCCTTATGGCTATTTATAGGACTGCTTTTAATGAAAGAGATGTAAGGGCCAACTTATGCATCACCCCTTTTAATGCCCAATTTTCACTGATAGAAATTACTCCTTATAGGCAACATCCATTGTTATTTAAGACCAAAAGACACTACTAACTACAGGTCAAAAACAAAAAGTAATTAAGCTAATGGCTGAATGTAGTTGATCAGAAAAAAAAAAAAAAGAATATGCAGATCACTGTTTCTCTAAAAATGCAAAATATGAAATAGTTGATCCAAAAAAAAAAAAAAAGAAAGAAAGAAATAGTTGATCTACCCATTCTGTATCCAGCTGAGAATATAACTGGTTACAGAGAGAGCTTTTGTATGCTTTGGGATTGTGATTTAACAACGAAATACCCAGATAAACTCTACATCTGACAAATAATCAAATTGTTTCTCTATATTCAAGAACTTATCCAAATACTGTGTGAGCTTCGTAAATGGTTCCTAAATTCTCTGAATATCAGAAAGATTTTAGGTATTTTAAAAGACTATCCTGATATTATGTCAACAGTTCAACTATTTAATATTTGCACAAAATAGCATCACAGTTGAAAGTAAATAATATATCAAAATACATTTTAAAGAATAAATGTTGAAACAGAAAACACAAGAATGGAAACTATTTTTTAAATTGTTTAGATTCTGGAAAGTCCAAAGGGTTGTTACAAAAGCCAATCCCAAAAGTGAATTAAAATATTTAAGAAAACCGGTGTTTTAAATCCTTCACAGTCTTTGACATATATTTAGTGCATTTGAGTCTAGTTTAAAAACTTCAACTATAGTTAATTTTTCCCTCCAGATTATAGAGCCAGAGGAAAGGGTTAACAGACAGCTTGGAAACCTCATCCTTATATATAAAGCAAATATAATACTTAAAATGCCAGATTTCCAATCTGAAAGTTAAATGGGGCTAATAACTTTCCTAATACAATTTGGGCTAAATATTTTCATAGAGGTCCCTAGCATATACCAGATTGTCCTTTAGAGGGACTAGTACTCATTAAAGTAAATTCAGTCCCCATTTCATACTTAGTAACTACACTTCTCTTTCTCTTCTCTGTCAGATAAGTGCTCATGAGGGTGTCAGTTGCAATCACTTTTGCTGTAGATACAACACAACCACCATTCTAGAGAAAAGACGAACCAGAATATGCAAGGCAATTAATTTTTTTTTGTAAATTCCCTAAATCAATTCTTTAACAGCAATTCCTCCACAATCTTTTCAACCCAGAATGAACTAGGGACACTGAAGGAAAAAAACCAATGACCTGTGTTTCTTTCTGTTCCATTATCCCTATATCAATCAGAATCTTTAGGAAGAACTAAACTTAGTTTAAAATCCTTTGATAAGAAATAAAAACAAGCCAGGAGCGGTGGCTCACGCCTGTAATCTCAGCACTTTGGGAGGCCGAGGCATGTGGATCACCTGAGGTCAGGAGTTAGAGACCAGCCTGGCCAACATGGTGAAACTCTGGGTCTACTAAAAATACAAAAAATTAACCAGGCGTGGGCGCTTGCCTGTAATCCCAAGACAGTTGGGAGGCTGAGGCAGGAGAATCGCTTGAACCTCGGAGGCAGAGGTTGCAATTAGCTGAGATTGCACCACTGCACTCGAGCCTGGGCAACAGGGGAGAAAATACGTCTAAAAAAAAACCCGAAATAGAAACAGTAACTCATTAGCAACATGGATATAAATTGAAAACATTTAGAAAAAAGCATGTTCCGACTATGCTAGCAAATTTCTAAAAACGTAAGATCAAGTTTTACTATTACACCAGAATCTAAACCATTTGAGACTAATTTAATAAAACCTAACGAAACCCCCAAACCTTATGTAGTTATTACCCTTTTGAAAATGCAGATATATAACACAAAACAAACAAAAAAGCCAAATTAATTATTTTTCTATAAGTCACTTAACCAAGTATGAGATTCTAAAATAGAAATTTATACTTCTTCCTGGATTTTTCTCTCCAGAGTATACAGGTACTGCCAATAGTCACATGGCCCTTTTTTGTACTCGTATTTTTTAGTTTCAAACTCCAAAATATGCTGGAGAATTTAAAAAAAAATTTTTTTTTTGAGACGGAGTCTCGCTCTGTCGCCCAGGCTGGAGTGCAGTGGTGCGATCTTGGCTCACTGCAAGCTCCGCCTCCCGGGTTCACGCCATTCTCCTGCCTCAACCTCCCATGTAGCTGGGACTACAGGCGCCCGTCACCGCACCCGGCTAATTTTTTGTATTTTTAGTAGAGACGGGGTTTCACCGTGTTAGCCAGGATGGTCTTGATCTCCTGACCTCGTCGTGATCTGCCCATCTCGGCCTCCCAAAGTGCTGGGATTACAGGTGTGAGCCATCGCGCCTGGCCAAAAAAATTTTTTTAAACTCAGTTGGGAATCAAATCCTGATTTGAAGGAGGCAATTTAGAGACTTTATCAAACTTACTGTGAATATTCATATGTTTTGTTGCAGAAATATCAGTATGTTTGATTATGTAGTACCACCCCAGAGCCTGGGGGGGAGGAAGGAATGATATACATGATCTTTAACATCATATCACATTTTAAAAATCCAAAAATTTTCTATTTCAAAACATCTTTGGCCTCTAAGGGTTTCAGATAAAGGATTGTGAATCTATGTTTTCTATGTCTTACCTATGTGTAAACTCATTGTTGTTCTGCCAGTTATTCACTTTCTATCTTTTATGACATAGCTTTATAGTTTAGTTTCTAAGACCAATATAAAATTTATTTTTAGGCTGTGCGCCATGGCTCATGCCTGTAATCCCAGTACTTTGGGAGGCCGAGGCAGGTAAATCACCTGAGGTCAGGTGTTCAACACCAGCCTGGACAACATGGTGAAACCCCATCTTTACTAAAAATACAAAAATTAGCCAGGCATGGTGGCAGGCTCCTGTAATCCCAGTTACTAGGGAGGCTGAGGCAGGAGAATCGCTTGAACTAGCGAGGTGGAGGTTGCAGTGAACTGAGATCACACCACTGCACTCCAGCCTGGGTGACAGAGCAAGACTCCATCTCAAAAATAATAATAATAATAATAATAATTAATAAATAAAATTTATTTTAAAAATATAACTGCCCAAACTACATTACATAAGTACCTAATGCATATAAACATGTATTTACATTCATATTAAAACACACAAAAAGGGCCGGGCGCTGTGGCTCAAGCCTGTAATCCCAGCACTTTGGGAGGCCGAGACGGGCGGATCACGAGGTCAGGAGATCAAGACCATCCTGGCTAACACGGTGAAACCCCGTCTCTACTAAAAAGTACAAAAAACTAGCCGGGCGAGGTGGCGGGCGCCTGTAGTCCCAGCTACCTGGGAGGCTGAGAATGGCGTAAACCCGGGAGGCGGAGCTTGTAGTGAGCTGAGATCTGGCCACTGCACTCTAGCCTGGGTGACAGAGCGAGACTCTGTCTCAAAAAAAAAAAAAAAAAAAAAGCTAAAACACACAAAAAATGAATCTGCTTTAATAAACTACTAATATGTTATGCAAATAAACTAATGAAACAAGGTTGATACCCTAAATGTATACAATAAAAATTGGTTATTTGTGCTGATTTCTCTAGTAGCTAGTGAATGCACTATAAAAATAGAGATTGTAGTAGTAAAAGTACTTTAAGAACCAGGTAGCTTGTATTTAAATGGTAGTAAAAATTCCCTACCTAAATTACTTACCCCATTTCCTGTTTTACCAGCAACCATGCAGCATGCTGTAGGCAATTTAGTCACACCCAGAAAGAGAAAAGGGGGAAACATGTTCAGTGAAATTAAGTCTCAATATCATTACCGAAGTGCTGAACTATTTGCTAATCAAACTCCCCTTTTTAGGTGATGAGTTAGTATTCAAAAATTTACCAGTGACCTCAGTCTCATTTAAAATCAGAAATGAGGTAAGATTTTATTTTGCAATGCTGGTTTACTGTGGACTAGGAATTCAGCAGGGGTATCCCCCTCCTCCTTACAGATTTCTATTTCTCATTAATGAGGTATGAGTGTTTTTCTTTTTCTTTCTTTCTTTTTCTTTCTTTCTTTCTTTTTTTTTTTGAGAGGGAGTCTCACTCTGTCACCCAAACTGGAGTGTAATGGAAGTATCTCAGCTCACTGCAACCTCTGCTTCCCAGGTTCAAGCGATTCTTCCACCTCAGTCTTCTGAGTAGCTGGGATTACAAGTGCCCGCCACCACACTCAGCTAACTTTTGTGTTTTTAGTAGAGACAGGGTTTCGCCATGTTGGTCAGGCTGGTCTCGAACTCCTGACCTCAAGCGATCCACCCGCCTCGGCCTCCTAAAGTGCTGGGATTACAGGCGTGAGCCACTGCGCCCAGCCCAGATTAAATGAAATTTATGCCGGCCGGGCGTGGTGACTCACGCCTGTAATCCCAGCACTATGGGAGGCTGAGACGGGTGGATCACGAGGTCAGGAGATCGAGACCACCCTGGCTAACACGGTGAAACTCTGTCTCTACTAAAAAAAAAATACAAAAAAATTAGCCGGGCGTGGTGGTGGGGGCCTGTAGTCCCAGCTACTCGGGAGGCTAAGGCAGGAGAATGACGTGAACCCGGGAGGCGGAGCTTGCAGTGAGTCACTGCACTCCAGCCTGGGCAGCAGAGCGAGGCTCCGTTTCAAGAAAAAAAAAAAAAGAAAAGAAAAAAAAGAAAAGAAATTTATGCCAAATGCTTTGCGTAGTAAGTGACTGACACTGAGATTTCTGTTTCCTGTTAGACTCCCACAGTTTTCACCTTAAAGAAAGGCAATGATATATCCCCCACAGCACACAGTATTTTGTAAACATGACGGAAACATTGTATAAGTCAATAATATTCCATATGTAGTCTGCTTGTACGTGTCACCAAAAAAGGCCAATGATTATCATTCACATCCATTTCAAGACACGGCTTAATTTATAGATATGCTGTGGTTCATATGTAGACCTGTCCTTCTAAACCAACAGGACTTCCTTCAAATGACCAGTAGGGTACTATATAGACTCCTAAAGACTGATGATCACTTGGAAAGGTTGGCTGCATTAATTCTTTCAGACGTGAGCCAAGGAGAATAAATTAATCGCTAGCTAGGCACAACCTGTTACCAGTGATGGCAGTGTGGACCGTCCAGAGTGGCCGCTGCCATCAGGCCTGCTGCAGCAGGGAGGTGTGGGCGGCGGCGGAAGGAGGGGTTGTGGGAGCAGCAGTGGCGGCAGTGGTACCCCTGTGCTCCACGTTCCCAAGGCAGCCAACTGTGCCACCTCTGCTCTCGCTTGGCCAGCCAGGACCTGTTCTCAGGCCCAAAGCCTCCGTCCCAGCCTCAACCTCGCTCCCCATCACCATCTCAGGAGCCCACGAGCACCTGCCCAAAGGCGCAGCCAGGACTCATGGTACCAGCCGTGACAGTCAGGTTAATTTGCGTGGGGTTGGCTGGGGCGGCCTCTGCTGTCAGGAAAACGCAAAGAGGCAGGCAATCCCTGGAGTCCCACCCAACTTGCGGCTGCGGACCCAGGCATCTCTGCACTTTCAGGGACTCTGGAAGGCCCCCCATTCCTCCCACAGGCTTGGAGGTGTCTGCTCCCGCTGCCTGGCCTCTCCCTGCTCCCTGTGCCTGCACCAATCTCTGAGCAAGGTTGGGGCTAAGCCTGGGCACTGTCGCGGCCCAGCCAGGTGTGTGCACACTCAGGGCAGTGCTGACAGGCCAGCTCCATGCTGCCTCAGCCCCCTGCGGACTTTAGGCACCAACAAGCACGGGAGGGAGGCCGAGGAGAGGTTGAGGGCAGTTTGGCCCTGGCCTGCAGGCGCCCCTTGGCAGGAACAGCCAGGGGGCAACGAACAGCAGCAGGAGGCAGACAGGTTCCTGGGGAGAAAGCAGCACGTCCACAGTGCTGCAAGTCCACAGTGAAGCACCACCTTCAAGTTGGGAAGGGCCTGAAGCCTGGGGGTGGGGTTGCCAGTCCCTGGGACAGGAGTAGGAACTTGTGGTCCTTTATCCAGGCCCACCCATGGCTGCCCATGGACCAACTGGCACACACTTCCTCCCCTCTGAGGCCCATATAAAACCCCAGACTCAGCCAGACCCAATGAGATGAGGGAACAACCAGCAGCAGAGAGGTGCGACCCACCCCAGGGTCTCTCTGCTCAGAGCTGAAGAAATGACAGACGACCTGCCTGCAGAGAAGAGCTGCCCTCTCTGCTGAGAGGTGAAGAAATGACAGGATGACCTGCCTGCAGAGAGGAGCTACTCTCTCTGCTGAGAGCTGAACACTTATCAGGACACCCTGGCTACGCAGAGGAGCTACCCTACCCACTGTAGGTCTTCTCTGAACTGTTCTATCACTTGATAAAGCTCCTTTTTTTTTTTTTTTTTTTTTTTGGAGACAGAGTCTCGCCCTGTCACCAGGCTGGAGTGCAGTGGTGTGCGATATCAGCTCACTGTAACCTCTGCCTCCCGAGTTCAAGTGTTTCTCCTGCCTCAGCCTCTCGAGTAACTGGGACTACAGGCACCCGCCACCTCGCCCATAAAGCTCCTTTTCATCTTGCTCATCCTCCACGTTTGCAGACCACATTCTTCCTGGACGCAAGACAAGAACTTGGGACCTGATGAATGGTGGGACTAAAAGAACTGTAAAACAAACAGGGCTGAAGCACGCCCCTTGCTCACCACGGTGGGGACGAGAAGAGGAGAGAGGAGAGAGGAAGAGAAGAGCTGTGGTCCGGAACCCAGACCGAGGAGCTCCCTGAGCCAGGGCTGTGACACCCTCTTTAGGGCTCTGCGGTTTCTAGCGTCTCCAAGTTTCCAGGTGCCACCATATTCCCCGGGGTCAGCTGTGTAAGCTGTTTATGGTATGTCTGGTCCAGCCGCAGCTTCACAGGGAGCCATGCCTGCCCCTGGAGCTGCCTGCCCCACTGCAGCCAGCGTGCCTGCTGTGTGCAATGGCTGGACCCCATCCTCACTCACACACCCCTTGCTACTCCATGCCTGGCTTGCTCTTGGCAGGCATGGGACCCAGGCGTAGCCTCCCAGGCCGAGTGGGCAGAACTAGCCTAGCGGGCCAGAGAAAAACTCGGGCAAAGACGCCACTGTCCACAGAGGCTTCTAGCTGGCGAAGCAACACTCCAAGGATCCCGTAACACCAGTGCCTGAATATCTCACCAGTACCTTCTGATTTGTTAGTTTGTTTACTCTGCTAGCTCAACCTAATACCATTTATAATAGTAGTATTACAAGACCCCTTCCTTCTTTTCTCTCATTTATTCGAGCCTTATTTCAAAATGCATGGGCATAGTATCATGGTAATTTTTTTTTTTTTTTTTTTTGAGATGGAAAAAATCACCCAGGGTGGAAAAAACCTCCCTGTCACCCAGGCTGGAGTGCCATCATGTGATCTTGGCTCACTGCAACCTCTCCGCCTCCTGGGTTCAAGCAATCCTCCTGCCTCAGCCTCCCGAGTAGCTGGGATTACAGGTGCATGCCACCATGTCCAGCTAATTTTTGTATTTTAGTAGAGACAGGTTTCACCATGTTGGCCAGGATGGTCTCAATATCTTGACCTCGTGATCCACCCACCTTGGCCTCCCAAAGTGCTGGGATTACAGGCGCGAGCCACTGTGCCCAGACAGTATCATAGTATTATAACACACAAATTACTATGAGTCAGAAACCTAACTTTAGGTTTTACTTAATTTCTGGAACTCAATTTTCTAATGTGTACAATGAGAGGATTACTAAGATGATTGTTATTTAAACTTTTCTGGATGGCTAAAGGTAATCATTTAAAGACACTGTTATTAAACTGTTTTGTAATACACTATTGAGACCTATGGGACTTAGGGAGCATTCAAAAAAAAAAAAAAAGAAGAATGGTCTCCTAAAACTGAAACTTTGTCGTTAATTTTGTCCTGCCCTTCCTTCAGCCTCATTCTTTTTCTTTCTTTCTTTTTTTTTTTGAGACAGAGTCTCAATCTGTCGCCCAGGCTGGAGTGCAGTGGCATGATCTCGGCTCACTGCACCCTCCTCCTCCCCGTTTCAAACGATTCTCCTGCCTCAGCCTCCTGAGTAGCTGGGGACTACAGGCACCCGCCACCACATCCAGCTAATTTTTATATTTTTAGTAGAGACAGGGTTTCACCATGTTGGCCAGGCTGTTCTCAAACTCCTGACCTTAAGTGATCCACCTGCCTCGGCCTCTCAAAGTGCTGGGATTACAAGCATGAGCCACCGCTCCTGGCCCAGCCTCATTCTTTAAGAGATCAATAAACACATGTCCTTATATATACAAAAATATTAATACTTCCCTTGCAGGAATATTGTGAGGATTTAATGTGTTTGTAAAGACCCAAGTCATATTCCTGGCAAATACTGAATAAATGGTAATTAATGCTGTTGTTGAACTGAAACCTTATCTGTACTTTACAAATAATAAAATTCAGATTTATCCCTTAAAAGATTTACAGGACTTGATCTCATTCCATCATATTTCCAAACTGCTTTGCTATAGCTAGTTCTGAAACCTCCAGATTCAATGAAATCTGAGCTATAGAAAACTATCTGTCTCTTCTTTAAGGGATCTCAGACTCTTCTGTCTTTTCTTAGTGACCACTGTGTCTCTTCTTTTGAAGCAAATTCTGTTCTCCACAAATTCTGTTCATCACTTTCAGGTAATGTCATCAAGTCTGCAATGTATCCTGCCATCCTCTAATTATATAGTAGGGCGGAACTGGAG